AATAAACTCTACAAAGTGCCTGCTGCTTCTTTCAGTAGCAAAGCAGCCACAGACCAATCCCCTCACTTCCTACCCTTCTTGCCTTTCATTGATATTTGTCTTTTAAGTTGGACAAACTAATCGTGGCTTCTGTTTTAACAAGTGTGGGCTTATCAATGTGTCCCCCATAAACTTCACTTTGAGAACTATTTGAAATGCGTTTTACCCGAGGCACGAATCCGCTGAAGCTAATTTCAAAGACATTGGCTGCTTTGTGATCAGGGTATTTCAGAGCAAAGAAATCCCACTACATAAATGCCTGGTTGGCAGTTCAACACCGTACAAGATACGACTGGCTTAGCCCCGTACACTCTTTCCCATGATTACCGAGGTAAATGAGAACCTTTCTTTGTGATAGCACAGTGTAAAATCTTTGTGCAGGTGCACTGACACGGTATAAAGCAAATCCCCTCAATGTGAGAGCAAGGCCATAATGCATTGAAATCTGTGGGGTTTTATAGCCAGCAAATATCCCTCTGGCAAGTTTTTTTAAGCCAGATTATCTTCAAATACAATCGTTTTGTTGAGGGGCTGAAGGGTATAGGTTACTGTCTTGATGCAAGAAAGGATCTGAGGATGAGACATAGACAGTTAGCAGAGGGGTAAGGCTTATGAGCAAAGCCAAAGCACGCAGCCCAGAGTGGGCATGGGCACGCTCTAGGGTGAGCACCCACCAGGTTCAGGGCCATCCCTCCACGTGATCTGGAGGGGTGGGGGTGGTGCTTAAGGCAGAGTTTGCCAGGAAAAGGTGGGGACTTCCAGGAATTTGTGGACTGCTCATTTTCTGGCCGTTTTGGAAGTTTTGGAAGTCATGGAATCAGGTGCATGGTGCGGGTGGGAGTGTCAGAAGATAATCTTGTAGTGATATCCTGCTACGCTACGGGTCCTTGCAGGGACGCAGCCGGCGGCCACGCTGGAGATTTTTGGCCAGCTCCATTCTGGGCTGTGGCTTTGCTACAATAGCAATGTTGGGGTTGTTGGCCACGGGACCAATCAGTTCATTTTGGAGGCAGTAATTTTAATTTTTTTTATTTGACAGATACAGTTAGATAGTAAGAGAGGGAGACAGAGAGAAAAGTTTCCTTCCATTGGTTTATCCCCCAAATGGCTGCCACGGCCGGAGCTACGCCAATCCGAAGGCAGGAGCCAGGTGCTTCTTCCTGGTCTCCCATGTGGGTGCAGGGCCCAAGCACTTGGGCCATCCTCCACTGCCTTCCCGGGCCACAGCAGAGAGCTGGCCTGGAAGAGGAGCAACTGGGGACTAGAACCTGGTGCCCATATGGGATGCCGGCGCCGCAGGCAGAGGATTAACCGAGTGAGCCACGGCGCTGGCCCCAGAGGCAGTAATTTGATACTAACCAAGCAGTTACTTTTCTATTGTTCTGTCCCAGATTTTCAAGGAAAGTAACTCTAAAATGGTCAATCTGCTTGTTCTCTGTTCCGTGTGTGTGTGTATGTGTGTGTGTGAGAGAGAGAGAGAGAGATGGCTCCTCTAGTTCTTTGCTATCTGACTCCTTACCTCTAACAGTTTGGTGGATGAATGGGTATTTACTGAGCACTTACTGTGTGTCAGACTGGGCCGTGTGGTTTGACACCTGTAAGGCCGCATTTTACTATTCTTCCTGTATTTATTCCCTTGTATAAAGCCAACTTGGCATTCACAATTAAAATTCTTCATTCCATATTCTTGAGTATATGAATTAATAGATATAGGATAGGTATGCACCAGACTCTTTCCCTCGAGGTGAAAAAGGCGTTCAATGAAAGCTACAGGAGGTCCATGCTTCTGAGCAAGCTCCTGCACTGAGCCTCAACAGACCAAAAGCAAAATCAAAATCGAGTCTCCCGTCTCTTTTTGGCCTTTTGGCTAAGATCAAGTGTGAAATAGAGTCTTCCATGCTGAAGTCCATGGCAGCAGGAAGGCCGAGGCAGGAGCCACGGCCAGGACTCCACCCAGGCTCTCTGACACAAGGTAGCTGCAAGCGGCACCAACCTCAATGTTTTCATGTTGTAGCACAGATGGGTATTTCATTCTCTTACATGGCTGAATAATATCTCATCCTGTGGATAAACCATGTTTTGTTTACCCATTCATCATTCATATCTAGCCATGCATAGTTTGTTTGTTTGTTTGTTTGTTTGTTTTTGACAGGCAGAGTGGACAGTGAGAGAGAGAGAGACAGAGAGAAAGGTCTTCCTTTGCCGTTGGTTCACCCTCCAATGACCGCTTCGGCTGGCACACCACGCTGATCCGAAGCCAGGAGCCAGGTGCTTTTCCTGGTCTCCCATGGGGTGCAGGGCCCAAGCACTTGGGCCATCCTCCACTGCACTCCCGGGCTAAGCAGAGAGCTGGCCTGGAAGAGGAGCAACCGGGACAGAATCCGGTGCCCTGACCGGGACTAGAACCCAGGTGCCAGCGCCGCAGGCGGAGGATTAGCCAAGTGAGCTGCGGTGCTGGCCCGTGCATAGTTTTTTTTAAATGTTTTCCATTTTTTGTTATATATTAATGTTAGCCGTTGCAAAACACACCGGACACCGGAGTAAGGGAAAGGGTTTATTGGGGAACACCCTACAGACCGGAGTGAAGGGGCGGCGAAGGAAAAAAAGAGAGAAAGAGAGAAGAGAGGAGCTAGCAAGGAAAGAAGAGAGCAGAGAGGAGCCGAGAGAGCCAAGAGACCAGAGGAGGAGGCTAGAGAGAAGAACTGAGAGAGCGCAGGAGAGAAGGGCCAAGAGAGCACGTGTTCAGGAACAGGCCGTTTTAAAACTTCGCCTGAGGGCGGGCAGGGAAGCAGGAGCAGCCAATCCCATTAGGATGGGGGTGCAGCCTGGCTCAGGTAGCTGGGCCATGCGGCCACCTGGATAAAACTGTGCCAGTTTCCTAACATTTTTCATGAAGGTTTTTTTTTTTTTTTTATTCAACAGGTAGAATTATAGACAGAGACAGAGACAGAGACAGAGACAGAGACAGAGAGAAAGGTCTTCCTTCCATTGGTTCACTCCCCAAATGGCCGCCACGGCCAGCACTGCACCTATCTGAAACCAGGAGCCAGGTGCTTCTCCTGGTCTCCCATGTGGGTGCAGGGCCCAAGCACCTGGGCCATCCTCCACTGCCTTCCCGGGCCACAACAGAGAGCTGGACTGGAAGAGGAGCAACCGGGACTAGAACCCAGCACCCAATATGGGAAGCTGGCACTGCAAGCAGAGGATTAACCAAGTGAGCCACAGAGCTGGCCCCCCATGAAGGTTTTTAAGACTCCCTTGTATGCATAGTTATCAAAAATCTTTTTGTACCAAAGTAAAATTCAGTCCCAGAGCCAGAGGGTGGCACAGCTGGGTAAGCCGCTGCTTGCGCTGCTGGCGTCTCATACTGGAGTGCTGGTTCGAGTCCCTGCTGCTCTGTTTTCTAACCAGCTCCCTGCTGATGCACCTGAAAGGCAGCAGAAAATGGCCCAAGTGTTTGGGCCCCTGACACCCAGGTGGGAGGCCTGGCTGGAGCTCCTGGCCCAGTCCTGGCTCCTGGAGCCGTCTGAGGAGTGACCCGGAGGATGGAAGGTATCTGTCCCTCTTTTGTTGCCTGCCTTTCAAATACGTACATTCACACATAGAGCTAGCTTTAAAGATATTTTGATTCCATTTCTCATGGGCAAAAACAGAGCTCTGCCTGATGATGTTTGTTTGTTTGTTTTTTACAGCAACCACTGGAAAAAAGTTTTTGGTGCAAAACCTCTAAATGTGTATGATGTATTCAAAATTCTAAATTTAAGAATTTCCCTTTCTCTGAAGTCTGCTCTCACTTTCTTTTAACCAGAGGGTTTTGATGATTCTCTGTATTCTCAAAAACTTTTTGTTTTTAAGTCTTTTTTTTTTATTTTATTTTTTTTTATTTTTTTTTTTATTTTTTGACAGGCAGAGTGGACAGTGAGAGAGAGAGACAGAGAGAAAGGTCTTCCTTTTGCCGTTGGTTCACCCTCCAATGGCCGCCGCGGCCGGCGCGCTGCAGCCAGCGCACCGCGCTGATCCGATGGCAGGAGCCAGGAGCCAGGTGCTTTTCCTGGTCTCCCATGGGGTGCAGGGCCCAAGCACCTGGGCCATCCTCCACTGCACTCCCTGGCCACAGCAGAGGGCTGGCCTGGAAGAGGGGCAACCGGGACAGAATCCGGCGCCCCGACCGGGACTAGAACCCGGTGTGCCGGCGCCGCTAGGCGGAGGATTAGCCTACTGAGCCGCGGCGCCGGCTGTTTTTAAGTCTTAAGTTCCAAAATTTCAGTGCATGCCACAAAACGGCTAAGTCTCACAAGCTTCATCCCGAATGAAACAAGCGAGACTCACAGAGGTCTAGACTGCGGGAGTCTGTGTGCATGACGCTTTGGAAAAGGCGAAACGCTGGGAACAAAGCCAGCTGGTGCTGGGGCTGAGGTGTGGGGAAGGGTTGGCCACAAAGGCACAGGGAGTTAGGGGGAGATGGAATTGCTCCCGTCTTCAATGTGTGGGTAGTCGCATAACTCAAAACCTACACTCACTGTAGTTTCATAAGTGCTAAGTTTTACATTACATACTCATATCTTAATTTTTTTACAGGCAGAGTTAGATAGCAAGAGAGAGAGAGAGAGAGAGAGAGAAAGGTCTTCCTTCCGTTGGTTCACCCCCCAAATGGCCGCTATAGCTGGCGCTGCACTGATCCAAAGCCAGGAGCCAGGTGCTTCCTCCTGGTCTCCCATGCGGGTGCAGGGCCCAAGCACTTGGGCCATCCTCCACTGCACTCCTGGGCCACAGCAGAGAGCTGGCCTGGAAGAGGGGCAACCGGGACAGAATCCGGCGCCCCGATCGGGACTAGAACCCGGGGTGCCAGCGCCACAGGCAGAGGATTAGCCTAGTGAGCCGCAGCGCCGGCCTCATCTTAATTTTTTAATGGGAAAATACTTTCTGCAACACACGTAAGTCCTGCAAGCACTCCACTGCAGTTATAAAAGCATTTCTATGAGAAATCATTAATACCTTGAAGGACACCACCGCTGGGCTGCTCTGCTGCGTCCACTTGTGCATCTCTAAATCTGCCCTTTTGCAAGACTCCTGCAAGTCATCCTTAAATTTTCTTTTGGGGCCGGAACCATGGCACATTAGGTTAATCCTCCATCTGTGGCGCCGGCATCCCATATGGGTGCCGGTTCTAGTCCCGGCTGCTCCTCTTCCAGTGCAGCTCTCTGCTGTGGCCTGGGAAAGCAGCAGAAGATGGCCCAAGTGCTTGGGCCCCTGTGCCGGCACAAGAGACCAGGAAGAAGCACCTGGCTCCTGGCTTCGGATCAGCACAGCTCCAGCCGTTGCGGCCATCTGGGGAGTCAACCAATGGAGGACAGACCTTTCTGTCTGTCTCTCCCTCTCATTGTCTATAACTCTATCTCTCAAGTAAATAAATAAAATCTTTTAAAAAAATAAAATAAAATAATTTTCTTTCTTGCTCCCCTGGGGGTGGAGAGTCCATTCTCAGATAACATCCACTGGTTCTGGAAACTGTGATTTCCTGCATAGGCTGAGGAGCCTTCTCCCCAGACTGTTGCAACATGACACCTCGGGCATGTCTCTGATGGCTTGCCCAGGCTTGGGGGAATTAAGAGTTTTCTCATGCACCAAGATTTCTTACAGTGCACGCTTCACGAGTGTTGGTGTCTGTATAAACCCAGAGCTGAGTTAGGAACTTCAGGAGCTGCCTTCTACTACTTAGAACTCTAGGAGATGGGGACGACATTGAAACGCCTGTCTTCCTATCTCTCTCCCGGGTGTTCTGCCAGACACTGCACCTGCCTCTTCCCAAGTTCAGTTCACCCTAGTTCACCAGTCTCTATGCAAGACTTTTAATGATCTACACCCACCCGTGTACTCCAGCCTGTCAGCAGCATTGCAGCCACCCTCTAAAGGATATTAGGGGTAGGCGTTTGGCACAGCAGTTAAGACACCACTTGGGGCCCACGTTATGGTGCAGTGAGCCAAGCTGCTGCCTGCAACGCTGGCTTCCCAGATTCCAGCACCAGTTCAAGTCCTGGCTGCTCCATTTCTGATCCAGCCTCCTGATAATGTGCCTGGGAAGGCAGCAGAGAATGACCGAAGTGCTTGGACTCCTGCCATCCGTATGGCAGATTCTGATGGAGCACCAGGCTCCTGGCTTCAGACTGGACCAGCCCTAGCTATTGTAGGCATTTGGAGAGTGAACCAGCAGATAGGAAATCTCTCTCTCTCTCTCTCTCTCTCTCATCTCTCTCTCTCTCTCTCTCTTCCATCTCTTACTCCCTCCCCATCTCTCTATCATTCTGCCTTTCAAACAAAAAGAATAAAAAATAAGCCTTTAAGAATAAAAAAGACCTAACTTGGGGTGACCTGGATTCAAGACCCGTCTCTGGTAGAAAGGCAGAATTGAAGATTCTACTTTTCTACTAATGAGCACCCTGCGAGACAGCAGGTGATGACTCAAGTGGTTGGGTCCCTGCCACCCATGAGGAAGACCCAAAGTGAGTCCTAAGCTAACCAGCTTCAACCCGGCCCAGTTCAAGTTATTGCAGGCATTTGGGGAGTGGTCCAGCAGATGGAAAACTTCTTTTTGTCTGTCCCTGTTTCTCTGCCTTCCTAAATAAATATTTTTTAAAAAATTTAAAAATAATGCATGTCTCCTAATAAAATTTACAAGAGGCCATTGTTTTGGGCTAAGATCCTGCAGTAGACTCTGAGAATCCAGCCTAGAAGTCAAAATGGGGGCCAGCACTGTGGCATAGTAGGTTAAGCCTCTGTGTGCGGCACTGGAATCCCATATGGGCACCGGTTCTAGTCCTGGCTGCTCCACTTCTGATCCAGCTCTCTGCTAATGGCCTGGGAAAGCAGTAGATGATGGGCCAAGTCCTTGGGCCCCTGCACCCACATGGGAGACCTGGAAGAAGCTCCTGGCTCCTGGCTTTGGATCGGCACAGCTCCAGCCATTGCTGCCATTTGGGAAGTGAACCAGCGGATGGAAGACCTCTCTCTCTGTCTCTCCCTCTCTGTGTCTGTAACTCTGCCTCTCAAATAAATAAATAAATCTTTTTAAAAACCCACCAAAATGGAGTCACCTAGGCTAAAGTTCCTGCCACCAAACCACTCAGTAGAAACAGACTACAGCCAAATTTCAAAAGAGACCAGTCTCAACTGCCGTGGCAACGAAGTTCCCTCTGCCTTGATCCTTACACATAAAGCGTGACTTGAAGCAACTTGATGTGAGCCAATCAGATATTTTTCTATTGTTCTATTTCCCTGACCCGTCTTAAAAGGAAAGACACTTTGAAATGACCAATCTGCCGTCTGTCCTTTGATTCTGCTTTTCTCAGCTCTTCTGGGTAAAACCAATACCTTCGGCTCAGCCCAGCAGAACACTTGTCTGTTTATTTTTCATGTCCATCTCTAGGGTGCAGGAAGGAGCACATATCCTCTTTTATGGGGTGAAGTGTTACCCAATTCTAGAAAGGAAAATAAAGCCAGTTAAGATCTTTCAACAAGACTGTTGTAATTTTGTCCTTTGACACCATTTTGGAAGTTTCAGCTAGTCCATGATACAAGTATGTACTACGTGGGCATTCAGAAAGAACTCCCTGGGATTTAGGCCCCCAATAGCATAACTGCCGGTGCCCATGAATACCTGGTACAGATAGTGCTAAACTCAACTCAACTGTGCCGGTTCCAATCCCACCTCATCAGGAAATCCAGTATCTTTCTCCCGCCTCCTCCATTTCCCAGAAACGCACGGCCGCGGGCAGTTCCAGAAAGTTCTAGACACCCCCGCTGTGGCAGAGACTGCTCATCCGTCACCAGCCGAGGGTCACCGTATTCAGCAAATAAAAATACAGGCCTCGGCTGGCGCCGCGGCTCACTAGGCTAATCCTCCGCCTTGCAGCGCCGGCACACCGGGTTCTAGTCCCAGTCGGGGCGCCGGATTCTGTCCCGGTTGCCCCTCTTCCAGGCCAGCTCTCTGCTGTGGCCCGGGAGTGCAGTGGAGGATGGCCCAGGTGCTTGGGCCCTGTACCCCATGGGAGACCAGGCCGCGGCGGCCATTGGAGGGTGAACCAACGGCAAAAGGAAGACCTTTCTCTCTGTCTCTCTCTCTCACTGTCCACTCTGCCTGTCAAAAAAAAAAAAAAAAAATACAGGCCTCCCAGATGTGATATGGGACATGCTTGTACTGAACAAACATGGCTGCTCACCTGAAGTTAAAACTTCACACGGAATGCTGCACTTGTGTCTGGCAGCCCTCAACAGCACCCATCTCCTCCCCGGCTGCACAGCTCTCCTGCATGTCTCAGCTTCCCTGGCACAGTTAGGTGTGATTCCCTAGCGACGCTAGCCAAGAGGTTCTCAAGCAGAATTCCTCGTGTTTTTCTTTCATGCTGGGAAAGCCACGTAACGACGGTGATGGAACTGCTATGGGCCCACGTATCCTAATCTTTATTTAGAAGAATTCAAGGCAGAGGCATAAATACAGTGCACAGCGAGAGGAGGATTTATGTAAGAGAGAGAGAGAGAGAACATACAGTCACGCGTGAGTGTGGGCTGTGCCTCACGGAGATGAGTGGGCCAGAGACTTGCCCATGAGCAGAGAGAAGGGGAGGAAGCCCAAAAAGGATCCCCAATGTTGATCAAGGCAAAGGAAGGGTCCCTCCCACGTTTTCAGTCTCTTTTATGAGATGGGGGGGGGTGCCTTAGCTGAATATACAAATGGGTTGGAGTTCAGCGTATTGGGGCTTTTTGGGATTTCATGGCACCTCCAAGTTGAGTTTACCTTTTCTGCGGTCTTCTTCCTTCTGCTCCTGGATGAGACACAGGTGCATAAGAGAAGGGGGCATATCACACTGACGGCAGGGATGGAAGCAAAAATCCGGCTCATCCACCCCTATGCAGCTCCCTGCCTGGTTCCCCCATATCAGAACCACGAGACGGAAGGCATCTGGTCCTGAGAGCCTCACTCAGGCAGGCACAGCTCAGGGGACTCGCAAACACACAGGGCTGTCACTCGAATGGGAAATACGTGTTCATTGTGCTAGCCAGCTGGGATTAGGGGTTCATTGATTATAGCAGATAGCTTTACCTTCTCTGATACAGGACGCTGCTGCCTTCAAGGAGAGTGCTGCCGATACCAAAGCCAGAAATTTGCCTCATCAGCTCAATGGGTCAGCGGTAGGAAGTAAAGGAACAGATACCCCGGGGCCGATGCTGTGGCGTAGCGGGTAAAGCCGCCACCTGCAGTGCCAGCATCCCATGTGGGCACTGTTTCTAGTTCTGGCTGCTCCTCTTCCAATCCAGCTCCCTGCTAATGGCCTGGGAAAGCAGTGGAAGATGGCCTAAGTCCTTGGGCCCCTGCACCCAAGTGGGAGACCCAGAAGAAGCTCCTGACTTCGGTTTGGCTGAGCTCCAGCCATTGCGGATGGAAGACCTCTCTCTCTGTCTCTCTCTCTCTCTCTCTCTCTCTCCCTCTCCCTCTCCCTCTCCCTCTCCCTCTCTGCCTCTCTGCCTCTCTGTAATTCTGCCTTTTAAATAAATAATCTTTTTTTAAAAAAGGATAAGAAACAGATACCCAAGACTAGAAAATGGGGATGTGCATTAGGCACTGAACAACAGTTGATAAAATGTCCCTTGGAAGACTATAGATGGGTGAGGATGTGTGTCTACTGAGGACGTGTCCTACTGAGCATGTGTCCCACTGAGGGTGCGTCCTACTGAGGGTGTGTCCTACTGAGCATGTGTCCTACTGAGGGTGTGTCCTACTGAGGACGTGTCCTACTGAGGGTGTGTCCTACTGAGGGTGTGTCCTACTGAGGATGTGTCCTACTGAGGGTGTGTCCTACTGAGGGTGTGTCCTACTGAGGATGTGTCCTACTGAGGGTGTGTACCACTGAGGGTGTGTCCTACTGAGGATTTGTCCTACTGAGGGTGTGTCCTACTGAGGGTGTGTCCTACTGAGGGTATGTCCTACTGAGGATGCGTCCTACTGAGGGTGTGTCCTACTAGGATGTGCACCTACTGAGGATGTGCACCTACTGAGGGTGTGTCCTACTGAGGATACGTCCTACTGAGGGTGTGTCCTACTGAGGACGTGTCCTACTGAGGATGCGTCCTACTGAGGATGTGTCCTACTGAGGGTGTGTCCTACTGAGGGTGTGTCCTACTGAGGGTGTGTCCTACTGAGCATGTGTCCTACTGAGGGTGTGTCCTACTGAGGGTGTGTCCTACTGAGGATGTGTCCTACTGAGGGTGTGTCCCACTGAGGGTGTGTCCTACTGAGGGTGTGTCCTACTGAGGATGTGTCCTACTGAGGGTGTGTCCTACTGAGGGCGTGTCCTACTGAGGACGTGTCCTACTGAGGGTGTGTCCTACTGAGGGTGTGTCCTACTGAGGGTGTGTCCTAC